TTCCATGCATGTCTAATCAATATAGGACATAGAAGTACTTAAAAAGAAAACTGCTCCAAAAAACTTAACCTTAACCTGGGACGCCGACGCCGACACCGACGCCGACACCGACACCGACGCCGACGCCGAGGGTATTACATAAGTTCCCCCAACTTCGTTGAGGTGAGCTAAAAACTATAATCCTGTTAAAGTGACGTATAAATACAACAAATATGCATTTCTAATTAATTAGTAACTTTTTTCCCTCGCAATGTTCGTTTGTGCCATTTAACTTTGCAACGTCACAAACGGCTCTTAAGTCTTTTTTGTACCATAGGACTGGCGGTAAATTCAGATTTTACTTTGATGTTGCTGTGGTGTATTTGCCAGAAGAACCACAGTTTTTAAGTCCCGCCCACAATTTGGCATCAAGCCATAATACATGTAACAAGACCTTGACTGATGAAGAAATGATGTTTATTTCAAAACCTTGGCAATAACTGATAAATGAGTTTAGTCAACAGTTTAAACTTCAAGAATACTAAATTAATTTGTCGACATTCGCTCCGTATTTTACTAAGTGTATCCTGTTAACTTGATACGTTCTATCTCGAATTGCCTTAATTCTTATTCTTGTCTCCAAATAGTAATTTCACATTAAACATGTTTAAGGTTCCCGTCTTTTTTACTTGACATTGGCGTCGGAAGACTCGGAACCTGGGAGTGGGGGGGGGGGGGGGGGGGGGGGGCTAAGCCCCCCCCCTTTTTTGCAAACATAGACATGTATAATATGTAGGCATTTAAAATTGGGAATTGGGGTTTCCCTTTTTTTGTTGGTTTAACCCCCCCCCCCCCCCCCCCCCGCCCTTAAATTTGCTTCCGACGCCTATGCTTGCAGTACCATTCAAACTTTATAAAATGTCAGAAATCATTTCGCGGTTTTTGTACATTGATCGCTATAAATGAAAAGTTCAGTCGGCGATGTTTTCCGTTGACCCCCCCCCCCCCCCCCCCCCGCCCTAAAAAAACATTAAAAAAATCGATCTTCGAAAGGAATAACAACCTAAAATTAAATAGTTTGCGATCGCTACATCTGTTCCTGACAAAAATCAAGTCCTCTGTCTAAGCTGCAACATCTTCACACGTACCCAACAAGAAAACATTGATGTAACCATCAATTGTCGCCCGGGAATTATATAAATTAAACTATGAAAATGAGTCTTGATCAACAAACCGCTTCGATATGTGTAAAACGACATGCGTCTAATTGATGGAGACGACAGTCGCAAATATTTTTAAATACTTGTAGTCGGATAAAAATTAATCAAAAACGATTTCATTTTAAACTTGATCAATTCCTCAAGTAAATGTTGGCTGCATAAAATATCAAATGAAGTTAGACACACGCATCACTTACATTTAAAAATGTATTTATTTTCAATTTTAGAATATAAAACACGAACTGTGCAGAGAACGTTTTTATCCGAGAAGTAAAATTCGATGTTCTAAATAAAGGGACCTGTCGTTGTTACGATACTAAATGATAAGTAACTTTATATATTAAATATGAAAAACATATATATTCTTACCGATTCACTTTATGAAAGTAAATATATTATGTATCTCGTAATTTATACACGGAAAGAACATTCTGATTAACAATCTTTTCAATGTTTAGAAAACCTTTGATTCTACATAACTACTCCCACCCCAATCCCCATACACCAACACTTAAACTTATATGTATAGAGCAGCCCGGTCCTCCGGGCTGCAATAATGATCAGTCATTCCGATTATTTGATCGTCGATACCCCAGACGCAGCATTCAAACTACGATCCTTTCAGGTGGAGAAAGGTATTTATACAGACTCCGGACCATGCTTGACAGGAGGAAGTGGGCGGTGCTAACTGTCAACCAGCTTTTCTCTCATTGGTAACTTACACAATAGATATTAATTGGTTAATGGTAAATACACTCACAGTTTTTAATTCACTCGGGGCTCCGCCCCTCGTGAATTAAAAACTGTGAGTGTATTTACCATTAACCAATTGATATCTATAGTGTAACTATAACAAGCATGTCAGTTTTGAAGGGCGCTAAATTTACATTAAAGATTATTGTACCATAGGACTGGCGGTAAATTCAGATTTTACTTTGATGTTGCTGTGGTGTATTTGCCAGAAGAACCACAGTTTTTAAGTCACGCCCACAATTTGGCATCAAGCCATAATGTATGTAACAAGACCTTGACTGATGAATGAATGATGCTAATTTCAAAACCTTGGCAATAACTGATGAGTTTAGTCAACATTTTAAACTTCAAGAATACTAACATCAATTTGTCGACATTCGCTCCGTATTTTACTAAGCGTATCCTGTTAACATTATACGTTCTATCTCGAATTGCCTTAATTCTTATTCTTGTCTCCAAATAGTAATTTCACATTAAACATGTTAAGGTCCCCCTTTTTTTTTAATTGACATAGGCGTCGGAACCGGGGGGGTAAGCCAAGTAAGCAAAGATAGACATAATGTATAGGCATTTAAAATTGGGGTTTACCTTTTTTTGTTGGTTTAGCCCCCTCCCTTCAATTTGCCACCGATGCTTGCAGTACCATTCAAACTTTATAAAATGTCAGAAATCATTTCGCGGTTTTTGTACATTGATCACTATAAATGAAAAGTTAAATCGGAGATGTTTTCCACTGAACCACCCCCCAACCCCCAACCCCCAACCCCCCCCCCCCCCCCCCCAAAAAAAAAATAAAATCGGTCTTCGAAAAAAAAAATATTTTACGATCGCTACCTCTGTTCCTGACAAAAATCAAGCCCTCTGTCTAAGCTGCAACATCTTCACACGTACCCAATAATGATCAATCATTCCGATTTTTTTTTTTTGATCGACGATACATGTACTCCAGATGCAGCATTCAAAATACGATCCCTTCAGATAGAGAAAGGTATTTATACAGACTCCGGACCATGGCTTGACAGAATGAAGTGGGCGGTGCTAACTGTCAACCAGCTTTTCTCTCATTGGTCCTTTGGTACAAGTAACTTACACAATAGATATTAATTGGTTAATGGTAAATACACTCAAATTCACTCGGGGCTCCGCCCCTCGTGAATTAAAAACTGTGAGTGTATTTACCATTAACCAATTAATATCTATAGTGTAACTATAACAAGGAATAAAGAATTATGAATATATGATATAATTTGTCGACACGTCCAGGTGTGTTATAGGACCGAAGACATCCAATGCTTACATTTACATTCTCTAATTTTCCCTGTAATAATTGTTTATTTCCCTATACAGGATTTGTCGTAAAAAGTTACTGCGTTCCGATTAGCAAGCAAAAAATATCTTCAGCAGTATGCAGCAAAAAGTGAAATACATATTAAAGTTTGTTTAGTGTATTTAAATGTTTAAAATGTTATTAAAGACGAAAAAGTGGTTACTGCATTGTTGGGAGGAAGGTGTAGCTGAAATATTAATAATGGTTAGAGTGACTTGTGCATTCTACTCTTCCTCTCTTTGTTATATTCCTCCTTTCTTTTGGGAGAATACATTCTGTTCATTTGAGCAAACCTAGACTTGTGATTTGGTAGAAGTAGCTTGAGTAGTTCTAGTGAAATCGAACATATCCCAAAAATATTATACATAAAAACCACAAAAATAAAACGTATTTCAAAGAGCGCACCGAGTCAGTTTAATAAAATGACTGAATTGAATTGTGGTTCACATGGAAAATTTTATAGAAAGAAACAAAATAATGATACATCTTTGATGAAACACACAGGATTTGCAATGAACACGGCAATTTAACAGCATCAATAATTACAACTGTACATTTATATAGGGTTATACTGTTGACTGGAATTCGGTAAACCCGATTTACCGGATTAATCCCACGGGAAAATCTGACAAGTAATATGAACATAGCCATTTTCGCAATAATCCATTAATAATTTTGTCATGGAAAAAAATAAATTGGTCTTATTTTCAATGTCTACAATAGTTTTGTAATAATCTTTGTGCATGGGAGTGATTAAACTTAGACGTTCATGAATGAGTAATTCTATCCATGTCAGTAAACATTTGGCATATCTAAAAAAAATATTTTAAATAAAAATTTGGATTAATGCTATTTAACAATTGTCATCTTTACAATAACTCGCATTATAATTGACAAAATCAGCAGCCAAGGTTAAAAGATCAGACGTGTGGTTGCATTCTGTCTCATTGAGACAGCATTTTTTTTTTCAATGATTTTGAAAATTGTGACTCATCAGTTGCCCCTTTTAAATAAACACATCAGAAATGGGACTTGAGCTATGCACCAAATTGACACCAATTCTAATCTCACTTTTTAATAAAAAAGTACTTTTTACAAAATACCGACGTTGTCTGCAAGATGAACAGGGGTAAAGATTTTTAAAATGATATGATCAATTTGTTTTTCAATATTTGACTATCATAACCTCATTCTGCAGGTATTAACAACGAACAAACGGAACTTACATTGCACATACCAAAAGAAAAGTGCTCACTGTCTTTTAACACAGTTTACAAGATTAAAACAAGTAATTTTGTGGAGGGGGAATTGTCCATTTTCCCCTAGAATAATCTTATGCTGTTATCTTCAAATGGTAATCCCCCCAGCTCTTCTTTAGTTGAAACATTAATGTATCCAACAAAGGAGGGTTGTACCCCTTGTCTGGAATTTTTTTACCGCTTGCAGATTCTTTTTTTCTTTTTTAAACATTTAAAAAATCCTTAGATTTTTTGGACTACAGTCATAAAAAATCGCTACATGTATACATAAAGTTTGGTTGAAACTGATTTAGCACTTTAGAGAAAGGGTGCAAGGTGCACTGTACTCTGAAATATGTAGAGAATGCATGAGGCAAAAACCTCATTACAACAGATTAGAACAGATAAAAGTAAACTATGCAATTGACTCTGATTACCCACCTCCCCCCCCCCCCCCCAAAAAAAAAGAGAAGAAAAACATACTAATAAATACAAAGAAAATTTTATTTATTTCATTTAAAAAATCTATCATGTGAGTTTGAATTCAGGAAATTTTCTTTGAGCCATCTTTATGGTCAAATAATTCATTGTAATGTTTAACACCTTCATTTGACTTATCCCCAAAATATCTGTACTCCTTGCCATCTTGGTTCAGTTTGTACACGGGATCCACCGTGAAGAACTCCTCATTCAAACTCAAGTCTTGCTTGATCTTCTCTGTATGTTTTCTGATAATTTTCCAATCCATGTCCCACACAGTTTCTGTCTTGGATCCCACTGGCAATAAATGTTGTTCCTCTTTTGGCGTGATGTCTTTCACCAGAATGAATTCTCCATTGTCATTAAGGTGGCAGTGTGAGAAGTCTGCCTCACTTTCGGGATATCCATATGGAAATGTGATGGGCGTGATGGTAACCAGATGTTTCACGAGCATTAGCATACTGTTTATTTTAGGCGTGTTCTTCACAATAACTGAACTTGGTGCATCCTTTGAACCTGGCTGTAAATATATGTAAAGCGAATGTGAAACATTTTTAAATACCAGGAACTCTGAGCATCGATATTGAAAAGATTCATTCCTTGGCTTCTAATCTACACATTTATTATATTTCATAAAATTATTTTTTTAAAAATTTATCATCATATATGTTATTCATGTTTATAGTGACAAATTGATCAACTTAAAAATTACTATTTTATAATTAAAAGTGCTTAACAAACTTAACCTTTGCTGTAAATCCAATTTTCTCCATACAAGTTTTTTCTTTCTGTGGCCGTCCATATAACGATTTGATTCTTTTAACCAGATGAAGTGGTGAGGGTTCAGGCTGCTCCTTCAATACATTTTTCTGGTAATTCAACAATTCTGCTGCCCATGACATGTCATTTTTCTTCTGTCTGTTTCTTTTCAATGCAGTTCTGTTCACGTATTTGTTACGAACACATAACTTTTGAGGCGTACACCTGTTAAATAACTGACTTGACACCTACAAAATCAAATAAAAATAGTTTACACATTCAGTGTGCACTGCCATCCACAAGCCTTTAGATCACTTTTAAAAAGTTTGAGGTGTTGAAAAAAAAAAATAAAGGTATCATCCCATTTTTAAAAAACATCTTTTGATGATAAAACCACTGATTAGCAAAAATTCACCATCATTAAGATGACATAATTTTCATACAATTCTCTAGACAGACAAAGGTGGAAATTAAAAAATTTCCACAATAACTGTAACACTTCCAAAAAAAAATAAAAATAAATAAATAAATAAAATAAATAAAGGTCAGTGAATATTATCCTTCAAAACATTTTATATTTATTTGAGTCTCTGATAAAGAGTTAATATCTAAAGCTGAACATTGGTATCTAGAACCATCCATTATTTTTTGTATATTATGGAAAAGAGGTTTTGAAGCCCCTTTACTTTTTCTTTATGTATTTTTGGTCTCATGAAGTTTGAGATAACAAGGTTTGACTGTCAATACATTACAAAGTATACAGGCAGCACACTTAACAGACATGACAACTAATGAACATACAATTCAAATGTATTATTCTTACACAGGCCTGAGGCCTATCTAAAGAAACATTCATTTTTTTATTAGAAAAAAATCGCATGCTTCAGTAATCCTCAAAGATATCAACCAGAGGCCTATGGACCACAACACTCACCAGAATCACCTTAAAATTACCTTTGTCAAAAGATTTTTTAAAAGTTATTACATCATCATAATATTTCAATAATTTCATTGAAAATTCACCCTATATTGGACCAAAAGAGTGTCCTACCAGGTTATGACAAAGGGTAGCTTCCACAAGTTTATTTATTCTATTCCCTTGAATGAGGACACCATCCTGAGTAAGATTTAACTTGAACTTAGAAAAGGTCAAATGGGGTAATTTGGCTGTCAAGTCCATTTCTTAAATCAATTTTAAGGGTACATGACTCTCAATACTATTTAACGAAGGATCAGTGTTTCCAAAGAAGGCCCGAAGTAATTATTTTTATTTTATTATACTTTCATCTTAAATACTAAAATCTGATTGGTTTAGACGCAGTTAACAATCCGTTCTATTATTCTCAGCCTTAGCAACACACGTGACAACGGGTAACACAACGGTAATGTTACATGCGTGGAAATTATGCGCGTACGGTTCACCGTAGAATTCTCAAAACGTCAGTTGTGCGTTTGAAAGAACCGGAATAAACTTGACGTCGATGAACATGTAATGTATCTTACTTGAAAACAACAAACGACAGACATCAACATGCTTGCGAGTGCAGACTTGAACTTGTTTATAGCAAGTTTTGAAAGCTTTTTAAACGTAAATGAAATCTCTTATTCTGTCAGAGAGAAATTGGAAAATATTAAAGATTTAGACAAACGTTTTGATTAAATAAACAGAGAGAAATTGGAAAATATTAAAGATTTAGACAAACGGATAAACGCCGAGAAAAATATGATCAGAAGCCTTTAGTCCAGGTAAGCTAGAATGGGAAACATCATTGGAAAGTTGGAAACAATTAGGCCTATTCCCCACCCCAAACCTAAAATATAACTGTTCTGCATAGCAAATTGGGCATTTTAAAACAAATGTTCATTTTGATTAAATTAAAAATACGTCGATTACTATTACAAAACTGCATTTTAAAATAATAACCTTTTGTAGCTGCATGAACAGCGCCATGATAAACGTGTAGTAGCTGAACAAATTAGTAATTCTCCGGATTAATTTTTTTAGTTGATTTCATAAAATTATATACAATATAACCAAAATATGTAAAACATTAGGCATATATATGAAGAAATAAATAAGCACCAAATAAGCATTACTAAATAGAAAATAATTTGATACAACAAATCGTTTATGATTTCTTCTAGATTTTCCCGGAATATTTTTTTTTTCACAAAGAGTTCTTCATTTAACATTTTTCAAGATTGAGTCTTACAAATGTTTTACACAAAGAAGTTCGCCATGAGGAATTTAAGTTCTTCAAAAACAACGAGCAAATAAATTTCAGAAACATGTGTGATTTTTTTTAACACACCATTTATCAAAATGTTGCGAAGAAAAAGGAAGACGACAGTTCCCCATTCTTCGGAAGCACGCGTCACACAAGTTTCAGAGACTAATATCCCGTTAGGTAGCAAAAAGAAAGACAAACACGCAGAGGAAGCTCATTTGGAGAAACTTGTCCTCGGTGGAGATACAGATGTGATACAAACTTTACAAGAAATTTCCAGACAGGTTGTATATTATTGTATTCTTTTCATTCTTAGCAAAGGCAAACTGAAGACATAGATCATATATCATGAATAGGGCTGCAAAGTTGTTCAATAATTATTAAGTCCAATTCAATTTAACTATTCTTGTTTATATACTTTAAAAATACTAAGTAAATGTTTGAAAAAAAGGTAACATTTGATGGTTGTTAATCTGAAATATCTTTGACATAATATGTTGAAAGTGCGACCATTGGGGCAAGTGCAGATACTTATTCAGTTTTAATTTAGAACGGGCTCATCAAACTGCACATGAATTTAATTTAAGAGCCTGTAGACTCTGAATGACTCCAAATGGCATCGAATCCGGGATGTTTCGCTCCAATTCTGTTTCGCACTAAGATGGTTCGCGCCGGGATGATTCGCGTCGATTTCGGCGCGAAACATCTCCCCTCTTTTTTTTAATATTTCATTTATTTTGCAATAATTCAAGATCAGTTATTAAATCTTAGATAAAAATATGTGTTGTATGCTCAAAATCATGACTTTTAATAATACGCGGTGCCACAGGTAACGGATCGTAAATGTTAATATGGTGCCCGTTTGCTCAGCGTTTGTGTTCAACAATTTAATTGTAATTAGTTGGAGATCAAAAGGTGAGAATTATTTCATTATAGCAATTATAAAGTTGTACAGCAATTATCTGTGTGAACTTGAAAACATATAATTTGTGTTATTGAAAACATGTGTATAGAATAACCCACCAGGAAGTTTGATTGTCAAATTTAATGTTCATTAATATTCTACAAAATTTCGATACTTACATCAATATTTACAGATATTATAATATAATTCTTTTTTTTGCAAAACGAACGAAATAAATAGCATACATTTTATGTTCTGGGAGCGAAACATTGCGGGGCGAACCATCTCAGCTCGAAACAGAATGGGCACGAAACATCGCGGTGCGAACCATGCATCGGCGCGAAACATCCCGTTACCATGGCATCATATTTAAGTTGCATTCCCATACCGAAGCCTGAAATGTGCTGAAGAAACTTTAATTTATCAGATTATCTGCTATATATCCATTAAATCTAAGCGAGTTTACACGAAAAAGTAGCTTACAGAAGCAATACATTGTGGGTCCAGAAGTAACTGCAGAAAAAAATTTGTTTGGATCAATGTGTAAGTCCTAATTTTCTCTTCACCCAGGCATTGTTATTAGAGCTCGCTGCACTCACTTTTAGCAAGGTTTTCCAAAAAATTGAAATATAACAGGGGACATTAAAATTAATGTTAATATATCATCTGTGGAAGGGATGCATTATGTTATGGCTTTAAAATCTGTCTGTCAGATAACGGACAAGAGAAAAACTAACGGACAGACTTGAATGAATTGAATGGCAATTTGTTTTCAATACATTTCCTTCTTAATATACAATGTTGTCTTTAAATGCATTTTTTACAATTGATTTTCTTGTATCATATAAAAAGTCATAAAAAGTGCATATATCAGCAATGCCATATGAGCATATGATATGACACTCCCAATCAACTGAAAACTGTTATCCTCTGAGTTTGTGTATGAATTGTTTTTATCTAATACATGTATATACTTTGATACATGTAGGCAGAATATGAAACAGAAGTTAAAAAGAAAAAAAAATTCTCAAAGCAAAAGAAAGCCCCAGTTTGGCAGGATGATGATGACAGGGGAAGGTAATGCATCCTCAGCATTTATATTTATGAAGTCTACATACTTTTATATGTGTATAATGTGTTTGTGAGAAGATTCTTTGATTTTTTTCTGAGATAGAAATACTAAATACAGGGAAATTTTTGCCCCCATTTTACACTCGCCCCTTTCACCCTACCCTCATTTGGGGGAATTTAAAATGGGGCGAATTTAAAGAATACAGTACAATTTCTTAAACAGAACTTTGACTGGATGAATTTTAGATGGGGCAAAATTGTTTGCAAGTGTAAAAGAGTGAAAATAAAGTGGGACAGAATAACCCTGTATACAGTATATACCGGTAAATAGGAAAAGTATGCACCAAATGCGTTTTTTTTTCAAAATATATTGAATTTAGTGTCCAGATAACAAAAGAAAGAAGATATGATGCAATTAGAAGAGGAGATGAAAGAAAAATAAAAACAGATGAATACACCTCTCAACTACAGGCAGAGTAAGTACATTGCCAAACTGAAGACAATCACAGAGTACCTCTAAACTAAAGAATGTTTAAGTACAGCACACTGTCACACTCAAGTCGATAACAGTACATCTAAATCTGAGTAAATACACTGCAAATTGTCTTATGCAGAGATTACAGTACAGTCCTTTCAAAGGTACATAGGACCAAAGGTATACATATGTAGTAAGTATGTTACTACAGGACTAATATACCAGATATTTCACTAAGGCCAGTAAATACATTAGCAAACTCACATCCAGGGCAGTATAAGGGTATCTCAATTCAAGTTGCATGTACACTGTACAATGCCAAATTGAAAAGCAGTAAAAGCCAAATAATACATTAGTATACCTGAATATGAATACTTGTACCTCTCAAATTAAAATGACTTTAAAAATTGTTTTCTTGTGTTTTATATTTGATAATGTTTATATTTTGATGCAGATTTGAGAAAATCTCCTCTGTTCCTAACTGGGCAAAGTTGCAATCTGAGAAAACACATGAATCTGATGGTAAGTCTAATAATGAGAAAAATATGTATCCATGTAAATACATGTATATTTCAATTATCATCTTCATTCTCATGCATGGAATACATGTTCATGTATGTTACGAATCTTTTTACATACCCGGTAAGCACAAAACCAAAACGCTATGTTTTTTATATAGAGAATATTATTTTAAAAATAAGATTTTTTTTTTCCAGAGGACAGTGATGTAGATGATTTACTTCAGAAGACTGGAAATTATTTAATAACTTCCTCCTCATTACCTAAGGGATTAATTGACCTTAAACAGTGTACCGACGCAAACAAAGAACAACCATCAGAGGTAAATTATCAGGGGTAATGAATTTTCAATGCTCTCAGAGGTAAATTTTCAGGACATTCAAATAAATGTGTAATGCTATTATGGGTAATGTTTCAGGGGAAATAAATTAATTACAAGGGTTGTCCCGTAAAATCGTGCTGTAAAAAATAGACATCACTGCGTTCTGAAATTTTCACTATTATTTAGTACACATTTTAGTAATATACACAGCAAATTTCAGATAAATATATGCATAAATGAACAAAGTATGTTATTTTATGTCAAACCTTACGGCGCATGGATTATAACTAAAACATGTCGAAGAACCAATTGGCAAGCTCTGACAATATTCTCACCATCATAAAGTTTCTGTGACAGGGAAGTAACTCCTATTTTCAATGGTGCTGTGGTCATTTCAAGTCTCTAAAGTTGTATATTCATTTTTCGTGTGTTGTGTTTACCACTTTCCCATTTCGAATGCTTGAGAAACTGCCAAAAATTAACCAAATGCCTTAAAATTTTTACAAAGACTACAAAATTAAATGTGTTATGCTCTTTTATTTTGAATTCAAAATTTAATAAAACCTTGGTTTTTTGTCCTTGCGAGGACAATACCCCGGCACATTTAAGCATAATAAAATCTTTATTTCTGCCTATATTTTATAAAAAAAATTAATGCACAAATGTGTAATAAACATTCACTCAGTGCGCCCATTACTTTTCGAGAAAAACGGTCCACGATTTGTCGTAGAAGTAAATTTTTAGGGGGTAAAGCTCTGATATAAAGAAACAAATGTGTAAATAAATGTGTTATCACAGAGGTAATGTGTCAGGGGAAATAAATGTGTAATACTCTCAGGGTAATGTGTCAGGGGAAATAAGTGTGTTATGTACTCAGATATAATGTGTAAGGGGAAATAAATATGTATTGTACTTAGAAGTAATGTGTCAGGAGAAATAAATGTGTAATGCACTTAAAAGTAATGTTCCAGGGGATATGAATGTGTAATGCTCTCAGAAGTAATGTTTCAGGGTAAACATATGTGTAATGCTCTCAGAGGTTTTAAAATGAGTCAGGGGAAATAAATGTGTAATGCTCTCAGAGGGAATGTGTCAGGGAAATAAATATTTGATGCTCTCAGAAGTAATGTGTCAGGGGAAATAAATGTGTAATGCTCTCAGAAGTAATGTGTCAGGGGAAATAAAAGTGTAATGCTCTCAGAAGTAATGTGTCAGGGTAAATAAATGTGTAAGGCTCTCAGAAGTAATGTGTCAGGGGAAATAAATGTGTAATGCTCTCAGAGGTAATGTGTCAGGGGAAATAAATGTGTAATGCTCTCAGAAGTAATGTGTTGGGGGAAATAAATGTGTAATGCTCTCAGAGGTAATGTGTCAGGGGAAATAGGTGTATTGCACCTATATTAAGGGAGGTTACAATAAATAAGTAAATGTTTACATTTATCCTTTAAACTTATTTGTTGCAATAAAAAATTCCT